ATAGCTAAGATGTCGACTACATACCTAAACCAAATCTTTATTTTAAAAACTTCTGTCAAGAAAAGTGATAATTGATAACATGGAAACTGAAACTGAAAAACATAATTTTGTTAAGTTCATTAATTGTATCTTTTTCTATATTAAATATTATTTAATCAATCGTTTAGGAAATTCAAGTTTATTGAAATTATGTTACGGAATGACATACAGATTATACTACTAATGTTATTGTAATAGTATAAAAATTACAAATTTCTGTTGTTAGACTAAAAAGTACTTAAACTCTTATGAATTTATACGAAAATTTTGGAACCGCTCCGTATAATTTTCAATATCGATTTCATCTATGTATTCTATGAGCAACTGAATGAAACGGAAATCGACGTTTTTAAAAACCTGACTGAGATAGTACAAGAATACTCTGGTGTTTTCCAAACTGTTGTACTCGATTGGCACGCGGCTAGTAGTAGTTTCCAAACGTTCCATGTCATTCTTAATTACACTCGTATAAGGTGTTTTAAATTCTTTATCGTCTGTAATAAGGAACGGTTCGGCGGCCACGCAACCGAAAGACAGACAAAGCGACACCAGTATTGAAACTACATAACTTACCACACTATCCACTTTCTGTATTCCGTTACAGAGATTATAGATAGCAGTAAGCAAGCTCTTCACGTGCGGGTCTTTGGTCAAGTTTAACATGCTGCCAAATGTGTCGACCAAGTTGTACCATTGATGGGCGTACAAAACGTACTCGTCCGATTCGATATAGTTTTGTAAATACTGTAAGTGTTTCAACGTCAGCCGGAACATTAAGATTTTCAAAAATGAATAGCACAGCGTTAAGTATGATTTTATGTTTTCAAGGTTGTCGATAGCCCAATTCAGTGTGCGCGCATCGTACCAAGACTTCTCCAACCGTTTGCTCGTGTCGGACCAGTCCACGTTGACGTTGTACGCGTTCATTAGATCCGTCTTATAAGCGTCGTACAAACCCAAGCCGTTCATGAAAATGTTTCTGATTTTCAGCGTCTCTTCGAAATGACAATCGCACAACTTTTCGTGAGAACACCATGTAGTTTTCCGCCAGCAGTTTGTTCGGCTTCGGAATTAACGCGGGCCATCATGGCTTTCAACACGTACAGGCGTAGGATCCGAGTTTGGTTTCGATTAGTTCTGTGGTACCTGTCGAATGACATTACCTTTGCGGCATCCGGTTAGTGTCTTTGAGCAGTTTTTCAATTACATATTCAGTAGTGGCCACCATTTTCTTATAGTCTTCCGCCTCGTTCTTGAGATTCTCATAAGACCAAGTCACCATACTCGTGTACAAATGCACTAGCCACAAGGCACCCATACGCTTTACTCGGACGCTGTACAACGATGCTATCTGGTATTTTATAGCATGTGACTGTAACTAGCTTATGTGGCCAGTTGACAGTTTTGTTTGCGGATCATATGGGCGGTCGACTAAGAGCTTCACTAGCTCGCATGTGTGCCGATCCGCTGAACAGGTATGCACATTTCAAATCGCCATAGAGACTATCGTTTTCGATAGGCACATTATTGCTTGGATATTTGTAACCGGTTTCCAATAACTGTAAAAATGAATAGCACAGCGTTAAGTATGATTTTATGTTTTCAAGGTTGTCGATAGCCCAATTCAGTGTGCGCGCATCGTACCAAGACTTCTCCAACCGTTTGCTCGTGTCGGACCAGTCCACGTTGACGTTGTACACGTTCATTAGATCCGTCTTATAAGCGTCGTACAAACCCAAGCCGTTCATGAAAAGGTTTCTGATTTTCAGCGTCTCTTCGAATTTACCATTGCGCAACTTTTCGTAGAACACCATGTAGTTGGCCGTCAGCAGTTTTTCGGCTTTGGAATTAACGTGGGTCAACATGGCTTTCAACACGTCAGGCGTAGGATCCGGGTTGGATTCGATTAGTTTGTCGTAACTGTCAAATACATTACCTTTGCGGCATCCGGTATTGTCTTTGCGCAGTTTGTCAATTACATATTCAGTAGTGGCCACCATTTTCTTATAGTCTTCCGCCTCGTTTTTGAAATTGTCATAAGACCATGTCACCATACTCGTGTACAAATGCACTAGCCACAAGGCACCCATACACTTTACTTGGACGCTGTACAACGATGCTATCTGGTATTTTATAGTGTGACTGTAATTACTTATGTGACCGGTTGACAGTTTTGTTTGCGTATCATAAGGGCGGTCGACTAAGAGTTTCACTAGCTGCATGTGGGCCAATCCGCAGAACAGGTATGCACATTTCAAATCACCATAGAGACTATTGTTTTCGATGAGGATATTGCTCAGATATCCGTAACCGGTTTCCAATAATTGTACCGATTGCCAAAAGAGCAGTGCCAAAAAAAGGACAATTTTTTTGAGAATGGCCGAGTGCAACATGGTTGTCTGTTTGAAATTCTATTACTCGGTCGAAAAAATAGTTTGCTTGATGCTTTTACAGGTAACGAAATATTACAACTGAAGAAATATGTACTAACCGATTCGTAGTTTGGGGTTTTTTATTCGCATTTAGCTATATTTGTTTATATGGTTTTTAATTACTGTCTATTGCACATTTTTAATAGGCTATGACATGGTTAAAAAGTGTCGCATACACCAACTTGTTACTTGATACTATATAGCGATTGAACGGTTTCTAATCGACTTTGTGATTAATTATTTTTATTTCAATAACGCGAGCATGCTTCACTAATTTATAGATACAATATTGCTTGATAGGTATTTGTTTAGACCACATTTTTATTTTGACTTTTCAAAAAAAGTGTTCTATGTAGTATCGTATTATAATATAAAAAATATAATTAATGGAATACGTATATATAAATATATACGTTTTTAATATACTTAAAGATTTTATACTTGATTAGTGTGTTCTTTTCCATAATTTTATAGTTGTAAGATGTAAGCTTGATTATTTTTTATTCTGTTGGTTATATTCGGTTCTTGTCAAAAATGGACACATCCAAAGATGCCCAAGCTAATTAATAGTTAATTTGAAGGAAATGTTATTTTTATTTTTTAAATTAAAACAAACTTCTATACCATGTATCATACTTAAAAGTATTAAATTATTTTCTGGCATAAAATGCGTTGTGTAACAAAGTCGCCTAATGTAATTCGGCCAAACATAATCTAATTAGTATTATAAAAAAGATAATACTCACGTATTTTATTTCAGTTTCTCCACATAGGGAGTTCCCCTAATATGAAGTTATTTAAATTTTATTTAGTGAAGTGTGCACACTTAGATAGGTAGTTAATTTGGTTTATTCTATGTAATGACGACACTTAACATTTACTAATAAAATTAATTTCTCTTGGTTACCTTAAATATTATGTTAATTTCTATAGAAATACTTTATTTTGTCTTATGCATAATGGCTAATAAATTGTGTGCACTGAACTGTGTAATGTGCTTACATTATTGGTGCGGTCATTACAAAATGAAAACGAATTAAAAAAAACTCATAATTTTCCAAGTATGTACTTTAAAATAACCTAATGTTATATATAGAAGATAAAGCAAAGAAGATTGGTAAAATTTGTGTGAAATGTTTAAAGAAGTGTGCAACAGGAACTGCAGATGCAATGGGTATTGTGTGTTGTGTACCTTACTTTTTATGTCATACATACTGTCGCTGTGAACCGGAACCATTGTAAAACTAGGTGATCTTTACTTAATTTATAATTTTTCTAATTACAAAAAAATTATTATAATTAGCATAGTAGTATAATTTTTAAAAATTAACTACGTTGGTATAATTAATAAACAAATACTATTAATTTCAGGTTTACATCGTTGTATCATCATCATAGTCGTTGATAACGATAGGGTAAGCTAACCTAACCGTTAAATACAACATTATTTTTTTTAAATAAATTTGTTGAAACTTTTTTCTGATAAAGAAGTATAAAAAAATTGATGTATTAATGTACAAGATTATAAAAACAAAATCATATAATTATTGTCATACTCATCAGAAATTAGATGCCCAGTATAAATTTCTGGTTAATAACAGATTTAGCTGAAAGAGTTTAACACAAATCTTAATTTTTTTTAAATCTGATATAAATATACTCAAATAATGTACAATATTTTTTTAACAATGGTGAGATGAAAATAAATTATGTTTGACCACTGAGTAATAATAAATTGTTTTTAAATTTCAGATAATCATTTATCAAATTGTGTATAAAATTTATTAAAACCAAAAATTATGTATTTTACTTAATTATAATAAACTTTTATTTTTTAGCCATTTTATAAATGTTTTGCTTTCTGTTAATTAAACATATTATTGACTGAGAACCACAATTTTATTTTGCGTTATTTTAATTTATTTACTAATTTTGTGTGTTGACGAAAGTAATACGACAATGAATACATTATAACAAGTTTGCCATTTGGATGTGGTTATAATTATATATTATGGTTAGTAAATAATAGTGACCTATTTAACAAAATAAGTACAGTGTAGACACAAAACTTATAACTTCATCTAAAATGAACAAAAAATACACCGACCAACCGATACACATAGATCACCCTTAGCCAAACAAAAATTTACTCAAAAACTACTGTCTAGACCATTTTTCCAAAAATGAACTAAGCTACACTATAGTCCTCCCCATTATTGAAAATGTCAAAGATAAGGTAATATCAATAAAAATAAATAAATAAATAAAATAACAAGTACAATGATCTACCCGTTTGTTGAACATAAAAGCTGTAGACTACAGCGTGAAGAAGAATATATTAAGGATTTCAAACTAAAATATAAACAGTTATTAGATGATTTCGAATTTTTCTTATATTTCAAATAGTAGGCAATGTTTAGTTTCAAGAATTTACTTATTGTAGACAAAATGCTCAGTACGTCACACATGTGTTCTAATACCATATTTATGTTTTAGTATAAATAAAACACACAGTCTTTTGCGTCAGAGTTTAATTAATACGTTTCTATATAGCCAGAGCAACACTAAGTCGATAATTTAATAATTCCCATTTAATTTTTCTCTTTAAATTTTTACTACTACAGTTGTACGTACACCGTACAACATTACAGTGTTTTTTTCAGATTTATAAACGACTATTCAATTTATCATCATGCAAAAAATCGCCATTTTTCTCACAGCAATTATTCTCTTGGAAATATCATTGGGTAATTTTTGTTTGTATTTATTTTACAATAATACATTCTAGGGTCGATTATTTGAAATTAACAATGTACTATATACTTATGGCGTTAATATATCTAACTAAATGACACGTTACAGCTAATAGAACTTGAATACTTGTATATTTGCCTCACATAATATATGTATGCAAGCATGAAAATAATGTATTGATATTGATACTTCATTTTCTTCTTTATATTTAGTCAGCCAAGGTAAACCACGTCCAGGAGGTAAGATCCAATTTATAATTATATCAACAGAATTTGGTATTTGTAATTATTATACACATATTTTTTTACATTTTTAACTTTTGTACTGGTTCATTGTACACTGTTATCGTGAAGTAATATGGAACTAAAAGTGGAATAATTGGTACAATAGGAACAAACATTTATTCAATTTTTTTTTATATTATACGACACCAAAGATATCCAAAATGGTAGATAAAAAATTATATTATTTTATCGTTTCAATTAAAATCACATCAAGATTGCTATAAAATAGTGTAAAAAAGTAAAACTTACGAACATTTTTTTTTGCACAGACCTTTTTGTTATTTGAAAGTTAGCAAACAGTAATTTAATTTGTAAAATTTGTTGAATTAGGTGGAGAAGGTTCGACACAGCCGCAAGGCTCACAAAGTTAGTATACAATGTAGAATTAGTAATAGCATTCTTAGTATTAGCCCTCTTTATATATGTATATTAAGGCGATTAAGAAAAACCTGAATTTATTAATTTTTATTTTTTAAATTATTTCTAGAGGTGTTTCGTTTTAGTTTTAAATCAAATGTTCACTTTTATAAGTTTTTTTATTGAACAAAAACAATGTTTTAAAATATTGATACATATTTGACACAAACTACCTCTAGAAATGGTTTTAAAATTTTAAATAAAATCAAACATTTTTATTTTAACCAAATCATATATTTACAAGAGAAGAACATAGAATAATAAATTAGGTTTTATTGAATCACCCTAAGGTAAACAGAGTAGTAGGAAAAACAATTATTATTTATTGTTTGAATAAAAAAATGTTACATTAAGGTTACCACAAAATCGTGTAAAAAATGAAACCTGCAAATAGTTTATTTTTTACATAGCTTTTTGTTTTTCGATAATTTGATTTGTATGTTTTTTGGATTAGATGAAACGAATTTGAAGCCACCGACATTTGTAACACGTCAGTATAATATGTAATATTTTTTATTTAATAGCAGTTTAATAGTACCTAGTGAATTAAAAAAATATATATTCTTTAGTTTCTTTAACCTCATCTTTAGTGCACATTATAAATTCTGAAATGAATATTTTACAGAAAAAATACAAATTCATAGTACCTAATATACAGTTATCTATTCTGTATACTTAATTACTTATATTTTTATATGTATACATAAAATTAATAGTTTTTCACCCCAATCAGTTTTCATCATCTAGGCCAGATAATCCCACCAAATTTGAAAATAATGTTTTTTTTTTAAATATAAAACTGCATTTAAGTTAGTAGAAAAACGTACAAAAAATAACACACATTTTTTTTTTTTTTTACATGTCGATTTATCGTTACCAAACATTAATTTGATTTATACAAACTTTTGGATTTAGCGGATATGCTTCATAAGGAGCCAAATGGTCAGTATACACGTTTTTAATATACTAAAAGATATTAGTACTTTTTCAGTGTATTCTTTCTCATACTTTTATGGTTGTTAGATGTAAGCTTGATTATTTTTTATTCTGTCGGTATTATATTCGATCTTGTCGAACATGGATAAATTCGAAGATGATCAATGCAATAGTTTATTTAATGAAAGCATTAATAGAAATTTATATATTATCTCAATTAATTTAAATTTTAAAAAAATGCTGAAAATGTTGAAAATTCCACAACCAGTTTTAAATAACTACCTTATGTAGTTTATTAAGTTTAAAATTTAGAACGCAGGAGAGTAGTATACATTTTATTTGTACACTTTATTTTATTTTTGAAATGGATTTCTAATAACAATTGGTTTTGAAATAAAAAATATCCAAGTTTAGCTAGAATTTTTCCATTTTTTGTTTTTGTGCAATAATCAACAAATCCTATTATTATACCAATCATGCTAAAAAAATATTTATTATTCATTTGGCCTAAAATGCCTTATGTAACAAAGTCGTCTAATGTAATTTGATCTAACATAAACTAATTAATGTTATAAAATGTATAATTCTCACATATTACTTTATTTCAGTTTCTCCACATATATATATATACATATATATATATTATATATTACATTATACACCTGATATGCAGTTATGTGAGCACAGTGTTCTAGTTAATTATATAGTGAATTCTTTTACACTATGTAAAGATAATAATTGAATATTCACTATTAAAATTAATTTTTGCTGTCATCTTAAATATTTAGTTAATTTATATAGAAATACTTTATTTGTAAAATGTCTTATGCTTAATGACTGTACAATAATGTAAGCCCTTTACATACCAGTTTAATGTGATGTGCCGACATTATTGTACGGTCATTACAAAATTGATATGAATTAAAAATAATTTATAATTTTCAAAGTATCTACTTTAAAATAACCTAATATTTAAATAACTTCAAATGTTTGTGTTAAAGAAAATGCAAAGAAGATGGCCCAAATATGTGCGAATTGTCTAGAGAAGTGTGCAAATGCAAGCGAAAAAGTTGTGTGTTGCTTACCTTACTATTGTTGTACAAAATGTGGTTGCTTTGATCCGGTTATATTGCACCTTTAGGTAGACTTTACTTATTTTAAAAAGTTTTTACAATTAGTATAGTAGTTCACTCATGTAATTATTAAAATTAAGTAAGTTGGTTAAATGAATAAACAAATAATTCAAATTTCAGGTTCACATCGCATCGTTGATAATCATAGGGTAAGCTAACCTGACCATTTGATTCAACAGTTTGTTTAAAAAAAATTTAGTAAAACTTTTTTCTGATAAAGAAATATAAAAAAAATTGATGTATGCATGTGTAGGATTATAAAAAAACACATACATATATTTAGTGTCATCAAAACTTAGATGCTCAGTGTATGTATTTCTGTTAAATAATTGAATAAACTAAAAGTGTACAAATCTTTATTGTATTAAATTTAAAAAAAAAAATGTTAACCTTTTTAGTGAATAACATTTTTTTTTTTAAAGGATATGTATTTTTAAAAAAGTTTTATTGTTATTTACCTCAATAATAAACATTAACTCTGTTTAACTTTTGAATAAAAATAACTTTTTATTACATTTCAGAAAAGATCCAGAGGTGTCATATGAATATACAATTTCTTTCGAATTCAATATAATCATTAATCAAATTCTGCATAAAATTTATCAAAACCAAAATTATATATTTCACTGAATCATAATAAAACTTTTACCATTCGACTAATTTTAAAATGTCTTGTTTTTCGTTAATTACACCTATTACTGACTGATATGTTTATGTATTTACTCTCTTTATGTAACATTATTACAACTTTCCAAATTGGATCTGGTTATAACTATCTGGGTTAGAATATAATAGTGAACTGCGTAGCAAAATAAAAAGATTGATCACTCTTTCGTTAAAAAAAAAAAGTGACAGCCAACCGCACGAAGAAGAATAAATCAAGTATTTGTATCTAAAATAAAAACGGTACCTATTTAGATTTTGAGGTATAATTCATCATGCTAAAAAAAACTAGGGTTATGTTGAGTGCCCTGTACATGGTTGAAGAACGAAAATCGATAAAACCATTGTAAAAGCTATCGTTAAACCTCTTGTGGACACGTCTTCGTTAGACAGGATGTCATTTGAGGTTTAATCACAATATAGTGAAGGTAGGTTGCAGTTTTTATAGTTTATTGAAGTTAAACTCAGCAAATGGTTAAATAAGATAACTGGTGAGTAGAGTCTTCATGTGTAGCGTGTGGCATCCCAAGGTTAGGTTTTTTCAACGTCGAAATAAAAAAATGTAGTCTAAACAATTATAAATTAAGCAATTGTATTTATATAAAATAATAAATTACCAACCCGGTTAAAAACCGTTCAATCGCTATCGTATAGTATCAAGTAACAAGTTGGTGTACATGACAATTTTTAACCAAGTCTCAGACTATTAACAATGATATTATTAATGTGCGGTAGACAGTTAATAAAAATCCTATAAAAATATATATAAATACTAGCAAAAAAAACCCAAATTACGAATCGGTTAATACATATTTCTTCAGTTGAAATATTTCAATACCCCAAAAAGCATCAAGCAAACGTGATACGTTTTTTTCGACCGAGTAGTACAATTTTAAACAGACATGGTCCACTCGGCAATACTCAAGAAAATTGTCTTTTGTTTGGCGCTGCTCTTGCGGCAATCGGTACAGTTATTGGAAACCGGTTACAAATATCCAAGCAATAATGTGCCTATCGAAAACGATAGTCTCTATGACGATTTGAAATGTGCATACCTGTTCAGCGGATTGACACACATGCGACTAGTGAAGCTTTTAATCGACCGCCCATATGATCCGCAAACAAAACTGTCAACTGGCCACCTAGCTAGTTACAGTAATGTTATAAAATACCAGATAGCATCGTTGTACAGCGTCCAAGTAAAGCGTATGGGTGCCTTGTGGCTAGTGCATTTGTACACGAGTATGGTGACTTGGTCTTATGAGAATCTCAAGAACGAGGCGGAAGACTATAAGAAAATGGTGGCCACTACAGAATATGTAATTGAAAAACTGCTTAAAGACATAACCGGATGCCGCGAAGGTAATTCATTCGACAGGTACCACAGAATAATCAAACCAAACTCGAATCCTAAGCCTGTAGTGTTAAAAAAGATGATGGGCCTCGTTAATTCCGAAGCCAACAAACTGCTGGCGAAAAACTACATTGTGTTCCAGGAAAAGTTGTGCGATTGTCATTTCCAAGAGACGCTGAAAATCAGAAACATTTTCATGAACGGATTAGGTTTGTACGACGCTTATAAGACAGATCTAATGAACGTGTACAACGTCAACGTGGACTGGTCCGACACGAGCAAACGGTTGGAAAAGTCTTGGTACGATGCGCGTACACTGGATTGGGCTACTGACAACCTTGAAAACATAAAATCATACTTAACGCTGTGCTATTCATTTTTGAAAATCTTAATGTTCCGGCTGACGTTGAAACACTTACAGTATTTACAAAACTATATCGAATCGGACGAGTACGTTTTGTACGCCCATCAATGGTACAACTTGGTCGACACATTTGGCAGCATGTTAAACTTGACCAAAGACCTACACGTGAAGAGCTTGCTTACTGCTATTTATAATCTCTGTAACGGAATAGAGAAAGTGGATAGTGTGGTAAGTTATGTAGTTTCAATACTAGTGTCGCTTTGTCTGTCTTTCGGTTGCGTGGCTACCGAACCGTTCCTTATTACAGACGATAAAGAATTTAAAACACCTTATACCAGTGTAATTAAGTATGACATGGAACGTTTGGAAACTACTACTAGCCGCGTGCCAATCGAGTACAACAGTTTGGAAAACACCAGAGTATTCTTGTACTATCTCAGTCAGGTTTTTAAAAACGTCGATTTCCGTTTCATTCAGTTGCTCATAGAATACATAGATGAAATCGAAATTGAAAATTATACGGAGCGGTTCCAAAATTTTCGTATAAATTCATAAGAGTTTAAGTACTTTTTAGTCTATCAACAGAAATTTGTAATTTTTATAATATTACAATAGCATTATTAATATAATATCTACGTCATTCCGTAATATAATTTCAATAAACTTGAATTTCTTAAACGATTGATTCAATAATATTTAATATAGAAAAAGATACAATTAATAAACTTAACAAAATTATGTATGAGTCAAAAATATGTTTTTCAGTTTCAGAACAGGTTCTTTACACTAGCTGAATGCACAACAATCCATGTTATCCATTATCACTTTTTTTGACAGAAGTTTTCAAGATGAAGATTTGGTTTAGGAATGTAGTCGACGTATTAGCTGTAGTGGATAAAGATTTCAATATTGATGTTTTTCTTCAAGATATAAATTATTATAATCCCTGTGTTGTAAATGAAAAATAAATCTATGGAAAGTTGCGTTTAGGTTTTGAGATTTATCGTTAGAAAACGCACAGTTTTAGGTACATTCCCAAAGATTTAAATCACTGTTGGCAACATAAAATGGTAGCATTTAATAGAATAAATTAATGTTTTTTAGATTAGTCAATATTACTGTGTTAAAAAATTATTTTGATTATTAATAGCTAAAATTAGTAGGTATGATGCATATAGTATGATCTTTACATTAGTTGATAAGGATAAATGGCCTAGGGAAATATTAAGTTATAAGTCACTTATAACATCTCTAGCTGCATGAACAAGTAATTATTTAAAATCTTTATTTTAAATACCTATACTGATATCTGTACAAATTTTTTAACAGTCGGCAGTCATCACGGGACGTCTATCAGATAGCCCTACTTGCCCGATTCTTGCATGGAATAGTTTTTGTTGTGTGGTCAGAATCACATATTATTAAGGAGCAATGACAGTAGAAACTAATAAGTTAATACAATGTTACTTCAACATTATAACAACTCGTTATAATATTATTGTATTTATTCAATCATATACTAATAATAATAATAATAATAACATTAGCAATAGAAAAGGCCAAACGTTATTATTATATAACAAAATTGAAGAACGCTCTTTTTATATAAAGATAAGTTGTTGCGTGCAACATTATAGAAAGAGCTATTACCACGATGATGCTCTAACCATGATCTGAATAAAGCGAAATTATGGAATCGTCTACAGACCTTAAATGAGTTTGCAACAACGTTACTTTTCTTATTATCTTTTTATTTGAATCGAAAAATATAATGCACTTTGAACTTCTTTAAGTTAATGTCTCTTATAATTATTGTTTCAAAACTGGAATGGAAACGGTCATATTCTGTCTTTGTCTGGACCCACGGTATCTTTTAAACTGCTCAACCGATTCCTCGTATAGCAACTCTTTAGATCAGAAATCGTACCAAACAGATAATTTGTTGGGCCAAATATTAAAAAAATTACCCCTTCAAATCCAGAAAAAACCTTAAGAAATTACATTTTTTCCCAACTTCAAACTACAACGCTCTATAACTTTTTTTTAAATAGTCGAATTGGTTCCAAATTTGTACGGAGTAGTTTCATAGTTCTACCGATACACATTGACAAACCTAAAAAATATAATAAACCCTTCACCCTAGCGAAACGCTGCGGGTAATTATAATTGCGCTTTTTGCGTAAATAGCTCTTTCTATAAAGGTGCGATTCCTATGCCCGCGGCGCAATCGTTTTATTATGGTTTTGAATTGGCCCGGACTCAGTTAACACCTGAAATTAACCTGCACACTTTTAAGAAGTATATATTATTTACATATTTGTACTTGTGTTTTTTTTTTCTACAGAATAATACATTTTAATGCCTATAACAATATCTGTGGGGTAAGCATCTTCGATTTTACAGGCCTAAGTGTCGATGAATATTTAAACGATGCACTCGTCGACTTTTATTTAAAGTAAGATTTGAATAATACAACTTTTAATAGTATAATACCTACAAAATATTAACTAATTGTTATGTAGTTGTCAAAGTTATTGGTTTATGCGGTATGTGTCTGAAAAAGACCGAAGACGATCATATCTTTTTAGTACTTTCTTTTATACAAGACTGACAACACTAATAGGCGGAAACGATCAAACCAAACCAAAAGCACAATGCCGTCATGATCGTGTTAAAAAATGGACGAAAAATGTCAACATATTTGAAAAAGATTTTATTTTTGTACCAATAAATGAAAAGTATGTTACATATGATAATAAATATTATCTACTAGCTTACATCATATAAGTAGAACTTGACTTAAGAAGTTCTTAAATACATTGAAAATGTGCCAATTCCCAGGTCATAGTAAATATCATTTTACAATTGGGTGCTTTGCCTTAACCCATTTTCCCCTTATTTCAATAATATGGGAGATACGTCTTCACCCTGTCCGCCCACCTTTGTCTCGGTCAACCCGATTTTTTGCTATACCTTCAGACCTCCAAATATGACCCGCCAATTCTAATCTTTAACTTTTTAGATACGAACTGATAATGGGTTTACGAAACATTTGGTAAATATATATATTATTAAAATATTAATTAATATTTTTTTTATAATCATTAGTTTATTAATTAAATTAATATACATAATTAGTAATAATTACATGAACATAAAATTATTTATTTTTATTTATTTATTATTTAAAATCACGGACACAAGTCCAATTACAAAGAATATATGACAGTCTAAGTACATAAAGAAATATATAAAGTGAAGGATAAATTAACAAAAAGAACAATAATTAAAGAATATTTACATTAACAAAATATATCTAAATCACTATTAACACTATTGCCGGTGGTTGACAAAATATTAACTAGAGAAGATGACATATAAGTTTGTGGGTAAAATGGAATATGAAATAAAAAAAATACGTGTGTTACGTGTATGAACCTTAAAATTAATCTGACTTAACAACAATGGGTCGTCAATATTGTTATTCAATAGTTTTTTTTTTAAAGGAATAATAATAATAAATTCTTCTATCTTGAAGAGATTTTAGATTCAAAAAATTAAGAATAGGTACTTACAACGTGGATGGAGCCCTTTGCCCCCACGGGCGTAAGTCTTTCATATGCGTCGTCACGTTTGTCGGCGCAGCGAACTGGCCGACAATCATGGTAGCTATTATGGTAGCGCACAACAACTGCAAAATAAAATTCAAGTTCTGGTTAAAAGTTTACCGTAAAAAACCGCCATTGCATTTCAAAACGAATTTCTGTAGATACTTACAAAGGAAATTTTTCCGATATATATGAGTCAAGAAATATAACAATATATAAACAAACTTGTTATTACTATGCTTGTACGAGTATAATATTGTTTATTTTGAACAGTATGAACCAGCATATTTGTATGATTTGTTTTTTTTAAATATAACATATGTGTGTACGAATAAAAAATCCATTTACAATAGCCGGTGTCGTATTTATTATGTAAGTTTCTCAACAAAATCTCTATTTTTTCAAATAAACACCGATTTTAAACATTATTCGATTTTTATATCTATGAGAAACATGCGTTGCGTCAGCATAAAAATATCAATGACTCAATTAGAAGATCAATTCATTTGATATTAAACTCTCACTCGTTTGACATCGAAGTTACAAATGGGCCAGCAGGAATTGTGTGCACGTTATAGATCATTAAATTTATCATTGTGGATCAATTCAACATATTTTGTTGGTTGTCCGATCGTTGCCTATTTGACAATAAATTATTGAACATTGGATAGAAGATGATATAATATTAACGTTATTGTGTGTACCGCACACCGTCTCACCTAAAATTTCGCCGCCGCTGTTGTCGCCGTCGTCGTTATCACGGATTGTCGGACGATGCTTATCTCTAATCACGTTGATAACGTTGTTGTGTTTGCGTTCAAAGTGGTATTGACAAAAAAAGAAATAAGTTCTCAGACTTATAGTATATTAGTAATACTCGTACTATACCATCAATTTTTAATTACTCATACAAATAATTAATAATAATATTACCGTTCGGGTTTGGCCACATTGTTGACACTGTTCGTTTTCCGTTTATAATAATAATAATAACAGTGTATCGTTGTAAAATCGTCTGGTTATTGTTTGCGGTGGCGCGATTAATTATTGGAAAGTCGGATTAGCACACACAGCTATCGAGTTCGGCGGCATATTTTACCTTATCTTCGAACCGACCGTTGTCGTCGACGTTCACTGGAATCCGTAGGTAATGGCCGTAAATTATTTAATATTACTATTACCTTAGTTGTTAATATATATTTAATAATGATGTTTACGGGCCTCTATGTGGGATCCGCGCACTCGTTGATCGCACTTCGCCTGGGCATCAACTGCCAGCAGGCTTTGTGTGTTTTTCACAAAAATAATATTTTCCATGGTATAAGTGATGTGTATTAGTTTTTTCCTGTTCAATTGTGTCTGTCCACAGTGTCCATAGTTTTGTTGTAAAATCGTTTTTCCACAATGAGTGCGTTTGGCTCGGGTTGAGTATGACTGCCTTGTTAATACTTAATGCATGTTCTTAATTTTTTTGAGCAGCTTACGGACCCGTGTTCTACACCCGTCCCAGTAACTCAACAATGAGTGGCCAGCAAGTGGCTGATGGTGGCGGCGCTCCCGGCGGTAGCAGCAGTAGCGGGACCAGCGGTGATCACAGTCCTATCGAGTGTAAAACACCACCATCCATAGCCAAACAGCACAGTTACGAGCAAATTGATCACGCCCACTTCTTGGCCAGCGACATTGGCACTCTGTATCTAAATGACAGGTATAGTAGTGTATTTGTACATATTTACTTTATAATATTCATTATTATTTTTTTTTAGTTATGATTGACCGTTAACGCTAACATTATATTTGAACAATCGTATACAAGATAATAATTGCTTGTTCTTTAAGCAAAATATGAACAACTAACATTATTTGTTTTTTCATATTTCAATTTGTGAACACAGTGTTGACAATTATGTAATACCTAGTTATGACAAAATATCATTAGTCATTTTGATTTTGACAATAATATAACACAAGCATGTTTACCTTGTATACAGTTTTTAATACCATGGTCCACAATTTGAACAAATATATTCTCTATGTTCATTAGTAGTATGTTGAATAATATAGTTAACTAGGTTTTTAATGATAAAATAGAATTAGACAATTGATGATAAACTCTTAAATTTGTCATTACTTTTATTTTTTTTTTAAATATTATACTAGTGACATACAAATTTCATTGCCTAACTATTAAAGAAAATTTATTGGCCCACTGTCATAATCAGCATATTATTTTTACTGTAAAATAAGTGAAACTAGGTAATAGTGTATAATATCCATATTTTTCAATTGCTTTTTATTATTTATAAATATGTTAATTTATATATAAATAATATTTTTTGTTTTTGTTTGTAAGTGTCTGTATTAATACTTAATTTTATAATTTCAGGTTTTCTGATGTGGTTCTAGTTGTGAACGGTGAACGATTCCACGCCCATCGAGTTGTGTTAGCCTCACGAAGTGATTATTTTAGGTATTTAATTTTATCATTAAGCATATTTACCTTAGATAGCTTAATGCCCAATAGAATTCATAGTGCTAATAAACGTAGTTAGTAATAATAAATTACTTATCGATAATGCTAATTTTTTTTTGACTGTGCTGTCTCAACCCACAACATTTAATTTCATCCATGAAAATGAGCTTTAACACATTCAAATTATTAATTTATAATTTGGTAGCTGAACTGAGATCTTAAAAATCTTTTACAAAGATGTGGTTTTATTAAATTAAATTTTTTCTTTTTGTATCTGGACCTATAAATTAGAAATTGTACCTAAATACTTAATACTAGGTAGAACTTTATACTAATATGTACAAATACTATTACTTAATTGGACCAAAAATTTAAAATTTTTCCCCTTTCTTTTAAAGTTGTATTTTTATATGATTTGGTTCCTGTAGTAATTGGGCCAGTAATTCAGTAACCAGACTAGTACATAAAATAACATATGATAGTATTGCACAAACAGCTAGAATGGTTTCTTCGTGTACCCAGTCCATAAATAAAAAATTGTTGAACGATATTTTCTAAAGCCTAATAGAAAAATATTACCCCTTTATCTTTCAAAATCAAGAGGAAAACCCTTAAAATGCTACCATTTTTATAAACAAAATTCTAAAATCTATAGTCGCACTTGTTTAAGGTAACCCAAAAAATCAAACCACAATTATATAGTTTTTAATGTCTTTAAAAATATTTATTATTTAATAAATGATTTATGTATTATTTTATCATAGAATTATGAAATACCATATTTTATTTTTTACGTTACTCCTTATGATAACTTGTGTGATAACTATCATTATCATAGGTATTAAAAATATAAAATATTTGTAATAATTTTGTATTATTTTTAGGGCATTATTATATGGAGGTCTTAAAGAATCCCATCAGTCAGAAGTGAAAATTAGTGAAGCATCAGTAAACTCATTTAAAAAACTGCTCGAATATATTTATTCCGGTCGAATGAATTTAAGTATTCTAAAGGTAACTTAATCGACATAGTTTACTGGTTTTCAAGTGGCATAATTAGTAAATTCATTTGTTTGAGTTTCAGCTATTAAAAAAAGCCCTACCCTAACTAATTATTATAACACATATTACTATTTTGTTTTATTTTTAAGGACGAAGTGATTTTGGAAATATTTAGTCTTTCGAATTTATTTGGATTTTCAAACTTGGAACTTTCATTGTCCAAGTATTTACGAAGTAACATTAATGTACATAATGTATGCTCGATGTTTGCTGCGGCACGTCTTTATCAACACAAAGAACTCGTAGTCGAATCGCTCAACTTTATCGACAACTTGGCTATGGACGTATTACAATCTGAGGCTTTTCTGTCTTTGTCGCCCGTAAGGACGTTTCGCTCAATAAATATTGGTCAATCAATTTTGCTCAAGTTGTGAAAAAAATTGTAATTTATAGGAAGCACTACAAGAAATTCTCAATCGTGGTTCGTTATATGCGTATGAATTGGATATATTTCGCGCGGTTTGTCGCTGGATCAAAGCGAATCAAGACGACGAAGATCCTGAAGCTAAAATTAAAGTTCTATCTGCTGTGAGGTATCCGTTAATGAGTCTTGATGAACTTTTGTCTGTGGTCAGGGAATCACAGCTGGTTAGTTCGGATAATATTTTGG